CCCCAAAACCCCAAAACCCCAAAACCCCAAAAATTACAAACTTAATTGAAAATGGAACGCATTACAAAAGGGACAGCTACCCCAGAATCCAGCAGGTTCATGGAATCCCCCACTTATGATCCAGCCATTACCTCTAAACCAGCGAGATCTTGCAGGAAGAGAAACCTGAAGGAGGTTCCTGGTAAAGTATTTTGAGTAAAGGTAAAGAGCTCCTTTGGAAATTCATGGAACTGTGAATCATAAATAGTTTTCTCCAATTTTTGTTTTATATATAATTTCCTAGAAAAGTCTAATTTTTGTGCACTTTGTCTGGAAGTTTGAAGGCGCAATTATTTCAAGGACATTTTTGGAGATTTTGAATCATTTTAAAGAGGGGTTTTGTACATTGCCAGATTTGTCAATAGTATAAAATGAGGCTTAAAAGATATCATAATTTGTTTTGGAACCAGGTTTGATTAGTAGAATAATATCAAAATTTAGGAGAAAAGAGTTTATTATTACCTTAAATTTGGGATGATTTATAAATTTATAGAGAAAATTTAAGAAGAATGCTAATGAAAGAATTCAGATGAGCCATAGCTTTACTCAAAGGAGTGGGAGAAGAGACCTTGGGTCTAACAAGTGCAGAAAGAAGTAAGAATTATATCAGAATTTCCTTCCTGAATGTCTGAAGAAATGGCTAATATTAAAATAGAAGAAAAATTATGTGCAAAAGTCCTCCCCCAATACCAGTCATTAAAAGGACTAAGGGTCTCAAACTAAACCCAAATTTGTTGGCTCGAAGAAATTTGAATAACTCAAGTAACAGGATGCTCTCACCTAATTTCCAAAGAAATCAGAGATTATGATCACCTATTGCAGAAGAAAATAAAAGAAGAATTGGGAACTTCAGGTTTAATAAAAGAGTACTTCAAAACCCCCTCTTAAGCCTGAGAAGCAAATTGAAATATTTCTCTCCTCTTGAAAGGAGAATCGTTCAGATTGCCTGTATCAACTCCTCATCTCTTTGCACTAAGATAATTAAGAAAAAGCTCGATAAGAGGAATAAACCTACTGTGAATGAAGACTTTACTCATCAAGGTAAAAATGGCAATGATTTTTATATAACATGTGGAAGTGATAACACCCTAGCCTTCATTATTTTTCTTTAAAATCACAAAGAGATCTCTATATCATACAGAATCCTCAAGCCTAGTGTATAAAAATACTTTCACTATTAAGTTTTGGCCAGTCCTTAAACTAGCTTTTAGAAAGTTTTGAGAAGAATTAGGATATCTTGCACAAACTGGCAAATTTTGTATTATTAACTTTTACTACAGATGTTGCAGAAACAATAAACAAGTTTGAAGATTTGAGCTTCAAAGTGAAAGATGCTAAAGCAGCTTCAGGAGCATGCAAATCCTCATTTGTACTTTCCAAAAAGTTAGAGACAATGAAACAGAAGAAGGAGAGGTAAGGAATTCTAAAGTCTTTAAAATATTCAAACCCTTTATAGAGCTCCTTCAACAAATCAAAAGTTGCAAATTTCAAATGAAGAGAATGCCAAGGGATTCCTCAAGTTTAGCACCTAGCCTAACTCGAGAGATAACTCAGTTTAATTGCTCTATTTAATAATCCTGACTATTTTCTTTCTTGTCATATTATTAACCTATCTTTTCAGACCTGATTGATGAATTTGTTAGACTAAAAGTCTCTCTAAAATAGCTAGTTTAAATTTCTTTGGACTGAGAATCTTATTTTAACTCCAATAATCATGGATATCACTTGAAAATAAAATCCGTTCTAATATTAAAAAGCTGTTTAAATTGTATTTAAATATAAAAAAGGCCCTTCAAAATAGATTATTGGCTTTAAAATATTAAAAATCCCAATATTAATCCCAACACAATTCACCTCACCCCTAATCCCATATCTAACCTACCACTTCCCCTCAAACACACCTCCCAAATTCCTTCCAAAACTCCTCAAATCCACTTCCCTCCATAAAACCCCCAACCCCCACCCACCCTCTTCCTAAATCCCACTACCGACCCCACCTTCCAATCCCCGTACAAATCTCAACGTAAAAATCCCCTTAACTCCTTCTAGGCTAAATTTCATATTTTTCAATCAGATGTTTTTACGAGGGGTTTTGGGGTTTTGGGGTTTTGGGGG